CCGTGGGCAGGGGGGACCCGCCGACGGCCCGGCCCGGCCCGGCCCGGCCCGGCTCGTCACAGGGTTTGAATTCCCGAATTTAGAAGACCCGGCAGAAGGACGGGGAATGCGCAACTGCCGCGCAACGGCCTCCGTGACCAGCGATTCGTCTCTGGCGGAGCCGGGCAGCAGAGCGAGCGTTGCCGAGGAAAGGGGGGTTGGGGGGAACAAGCGTCGCTCCCCGCAAATGCGGGACCTGGGGAAACGTCCATCCCTGCGGCTCCCGCCCCCGGACCGTCGGGGACGGCCGGGGGGGGGGGACAGCGCGGGTCCAGCCGCTCCGACCGGCGGTGGCACGAGGGCTCCTGGCGTCCGAGGACACGCGGACACGTCCCTCATCCGCAGAGGGAGAGGATTTCTTACTGTTTCCTCCCCCATGGAGCTGGGTCCCTTCTAGGGGCCTTAAAAGCCTCTGCCCTTGAGAACGACGACGATCCGGGCACAGGGACGGGACGGGACAGGACGGGGATGGGTTTGGTGCCATCCTGCCGCGCCCCCCCTCCCTTGAACTGAAGCGCTGGAGGCAGCCACAGCGGCAGCGCTCGGGGTGGCGGGGTGGGTGCAGGGGAAGGGGCTGAGATGGCACCCAGACCCCCCCGAGGAACCTGGCCAGCGATGCTCAGCTCCCTCCACTGCCGGCACAAGGCTCTGGGCGCAGCCATCACAGCCGGCTGTTACGGATTTGTGCACGCCGGCCACTGTGACAGGGTCCGACCCTAGGATCCCGCTGGTTAAGGTAAAGTCCGAGTGAAGGTTTCCAATTCCTCTTTTATTGGTTCTTGGGTTACAGCTCGAGCTGGGTGCCTCCGGAGAGGGACCCCTACCCCAGATCACCCCCCCCAATTATACTCGTACCACCCAGCACTCGATCCCCAAGTCCAGTCGCTTAATTCTGGTCGGTGGTCTCTTGTTTTCTTACTGGTTTTCACTGTCGCTTGGCTGGCCGCCTTCTGGAGTGACCTCATTCTCTTGGAATTGTCTCCTTGGTCCTTATCTTCTTCATTCCGCTCGTATCTGCCGGATTCAGGCAGTTCTGTGTTTGCAGCATTAGTTTTATCAAAAAGTTTACTCTCGGTCAGCTCTTGCGGCCTAAGGCTTCAACTGCTTTAGCTACTAGTGCTAAACGGGACTATTCAGAGAGAAGAATACAGTCAATCAAATTTCTTCTCCAACCCCGGCACAGCCCCTTCGCTCTCGCGCCCCACAGGGCCCACCCCAGCCGGGGGGTGGCAGCTGCACCGCAGGATTGCTTTGCGCCAGACGTCTCTTCTGTGCCTGTCGCCCGGTTATTTCTCTGCTCCCAGTGTTAACCTGGGGTGGATGAGAGCGAGGGAGAGCTTTAGCGAAGCTACCGAGCTAATGGCCACGTCAGTAAAGTGTCAGCGTATCTCAAGACACAGCTGATCGGGTGCCTGGCTCGGCTGGGATGGAGTCACCTTTTGGCACAGCAGTTTTGGCAGTGCTGCGCTCTGCCCTGCACATGGCTGGCACAGGGCTGGTGATGCCCCACGCTTCCGCTGCTGGTGAGAGGTGCCGGCACCGCCCCAGGGCGTCCCCTGCACCCCCGAGCAGCAGCTAGGGTGGGCAAGGGCCCGGAGGGGACCCAGCCGGGACAGCCGACCCCAGGGGTATTGCACACCGTGTGCCGTCCTGCTCAGGGATAAAAGGGGAAAGGTAGGGGAAGGGTAGGGTGGTTCAGTTGGAAGGGACCTACAAGGATCATCTGGTCCAACTGCCTGACCGCTTCAGGGCTGACCACAAGTTAAAGCATGTCGTTAAGGGCATTGTCCAAATGCCTCTTAAACACTGACAGGCTTGGGGCATCGACCACCTCTCCAGGAAGCCTGTTCCAGGGTTTGACCACCCTCTCGGTAAAGAAATGCTTCCTCATGTCCAGTCTGAACCTCCCCTGGCGCAGCTTTGAGCCATTCCCAGGC